CAATATGTGACAAGTCTGAGACTAAAAAAGTCTATTTAGGTAATTAATCAGTGAGTGGTGTTGCCCTGTTTTACTCTGGTGTGACAGGCAAAACCAGATAGCCTGCCAGTAATGAACAGCTGAGTACTACAGAGTTCAAAAAGGATTTCAATGAGCCCATCATGAAGGAAATAACTTCAGCATTTTGGTGCTTCCTTATCAGAGATATGTGAAACCTGGTGGCTTTGCTCAGGGATGGAATTCACTTTTTTTTTCCAGTTTCATTCCACCGAGATTTGAACCTCAATCCTGAGTTTTGGGTCAAAACGAACCCAGTAATCCCAAAGTGAAACCTAGCAGAAACTGCTGAGAAGTTGAGGCCAACATTTTTGAGTGTCTCCTTCTGACACTGACTTGCTAGTTCCATTTGCAAGTCATCTCACTTCGCTGAGCCTCAGTTCCCCCAGCTGCAAACTAGGAATGATGATAATTTCCTACTTCATACCACATGGATGCTGTAAGGTGTAACTAAACAATGTTTGCCTCTGTTTTCACGAACAAGGTCAGCTCCCAGACTGCTGCGCTGGGCATCGCAAAATGGGGAAGAGATGGCCAGCCCTCTGTGGAGATAGAGGTGGTTAGGGACTATTTAGAAAAGCTGGACGTGCACAAGTCCATGGGGCCGGACGAGTTGCATCCGAGAGTGCTGAAGGAATTGGCGGCTGTGATTGCAGAGCCATTGGCCATTATCTTTGAAAACTCGTGGCGAACGGGGGAAGTCCCGGATGACTGGAAAAAGGCTAATGTAGTGCCAATCTTTAAAAAAGGGAAGAAGGAGGATCCTGGGAACTACAGGCCAGTCAGCCTCACCTCAGTCCCTAGAAAAATCATGGAGCAGGTCCTCAAAGAATCAATCCTGAAGCACTTGCATGAGAGGAAAGTGATCAGGAACAGCCAGCGTGGATTCACCAAGGGAAGGTCATGCCTGACTAATCTAATCGCCTTTTATGATGAGATTACTGGTTCTGTGGATGAAGGGAAAGCAGTGGATGTATTGTTTCTTGACTTTAGCAAACCTTTTGACACGGTCTCCCACAGTATTCTTGTCAGCAAGTTAAGGAAGTATGGGCTGGAAGAATGCACTATAAGGTGGGTAGAAAGCTGGCTAGATTGTCGGGCTCAACGGGTAGTGATCAATGGCTCCATGTCTAGTTGGCAGCTGGTATCAAGTGGAGTGCCCCAAGGGTCAGTCCTGGGGCCGGTTTTATTCAATATCTTCATTAATGATCTGGAGGATGGTGTGGATTGCACTCTCAGCAAATTTGCGGATGATACTAAACTGGGAGGAGTGGTAGATACGCTGGAGGGGAGGGATAGGATACAGAAGGACCTAGACAAATTGGAGGATTGGGCCAAAAGAAATCTGATGAGGTTCAATAAGGATAAGTGCAGGGTCCTGCACTTAGGACGGAAGAACCCAATACACAGCTACAGACTAGGGACCGAATGGCTAGGCAGCAGTTCTGCGGAAAAGGACCTAGGGGTGACAGTGGACGAGAAGCTGGATATGAGTCAGCAGTGTGCCCTTGTTGCCAAGAAGGCCAATGGCATTTTGGGATGTATAAGTGGGGGCATAGCGAGCAGATCGAGGGACGTGATCGTTCCCCTCTATTCGACATTGGTGAGGCCTCATCTGGAGTACTGTGTCCAGTTTTGGGCCCCACACTACAAGAAGGATGTGGATAAATTGGAGAGAGTCCAGCGAAGGGCAACAAAAATGATCAGTTTCAGAGGAACAGCCGTGTTAGTCTGTATTCGCAAAAAGAAAAGGAGTACTTGTGGCACCTTAGAGACTAACCAATTTATTTGAGCATGAGCTTTCGTGAGCTACATCAGATACATCTGATGAAGTGAGCTGTAGCTCACGAAAGCTCATGCTCAAATAAATTGGTTAGTCTCTAAGGTGCCACAAGTACTCCTTTTCTTTTTAAAAATGATTAGGGGTCTGGAACACATGAGTTATGAGGAGAGGCTGAGGGAGCTGGGATTGTTTAGCCTGCAGAAGAGAAGAATGAGGGGGGATTTGATAGCTGCTTTCAACTACCTGAAAGGGGGTTCCAAAGAGGATGGCTCTAGACTGTTCTCAATGGTAGCAGATGACAGGACGAGGAGTAATGGTCTCAAGCTGCAGTGGGGGAGGTTTAGATTGGATATTAGGAAAAACTTTTTCACTAAGAGGGTGGTGAAACACTGGAATGCGTTACCTAGGGAGGTGGTAGAATCTCCTTCCTTAGAGGTTTTTAAGGTCAGGCTTGACAAAGCCCTGGCTGGGATGATTTAACTGGGAATTGGTCCTGCTTCGAGCAGGGGGTTGGACTAGATGACCTTCTGGGGTCCCTTCCAACCCTTATATTCTATGATTCTATGAATGTTTCTAAAGTATTATGTGACCATCATTGAACCAGGGAAATCCAGAGCTACAGGTCTAAACCCAGTAGCTGGTAGCTGTACCAGATTGTATCCCCCGTGAATCAGGTACAGAGGGGACTCACAGCACACGTTGACCAGTGGATTACACTGTACATAAAAGCAAAATGTAAGTAAGGCCCATCAGAGAAGTCTCAGGAGTTCTGTGCTCTTAGCCCTGACATGCATCTCTTTATGCCAAGTAGCCTCTAGGAGGCACACTCATCTAAAATTCACATCCCTTTTTTATTTCAAGCTAAAGTTTTGTCATAATTGTTGGAATATCGTTGACGTTTCAGAAACTCTGAAATCTTCCTTTTTTTCTTGCAAAGAATATTTCTCCTATCTGTATTCCTACTCTCACTCCTGTGCTTTAATCAACCTTCTCCCAAATAAAAGAACCGGTGCTCTAATGTACAGCAAAGCTCAACTAAGCATTACTTATAGACTACAGAATTATGATCCTGAGGTTAAATATGCCGGACTGAGAACTATGAAATCTGGGCCCAAGGTCCTATTCCTGGCTCTGCCCTAGAATGTGTGTATAGTCTGGGAAAGTCATGTAGCCACTCTGGGTATGTCTACACTGCAACTAGACACCCCTGGCTGGTTTGTCCAGCTGACCTGGCTTGCAGTGCTCAGGATAAGAGGCTGTTTAATTGTGGTGTAGACGTTCAGGCTTGGGCTGGAACCCTGGCTCTAGGCCCCTGTGAGGTGGCGGCCTGAATGTCTACACTGCAATTAAACAACTCCACAAGCCTTAGCCCCACAAGCTGAATCTGCTAGCCCAGGCCAGTCGCAGGTATCTAACTGCAGCATAGACATACCCTCTGAGCATCAGCTTCCCCATCTGTAAAACAGAGTCAATGATATTTAGTCAATAATGGCTGCACTGGAAGCAGGACACTGAAAAGTTACATTGGAGAGAGCGTATTGGTATGTGGATCAGACGGTGTCAATTTCAGATCCTACTTAGGCATCACTCAGTGCTGATGTCCACGTCTATTAACTTTGTTTACTAAACTGTCTCATTATCTGTTTTGTGTCAGGATTTCTTCAGGGTGTGGTGGAATAGGACAGATGGGCTGAAAAACCTTCCTTTGGGCATGGAATACACACGATTGGACAGATGGGCTCCAAGAAGCTGCCTTCAGGCCTGGAACACGTGGGAAGAGAAGGGGGGTATATCCTCTCCTGTTTTTACAGCCAAGTGTAAAAGCCAATGGAGAACACTGTGGGCAAAATGAAGAATGTGTATCCAGCTACCCCCTTTATAGCAGAAACTGGAACAAGAATCTTTCTCCAGAAGGTGCTGTCCAAAGAATCTACAGGTGTAGCTAGCTACTTGTTTGGCTATTAATGCCAGCATTTCTCCATGGCTATATGCTTAAGGGGAGTTTATGTAGCAATGAAGCACATCAATATTTCAAAATAAGTGTTTTTAGGCAGCAGAGCACACTTATTTTCCTAATATATATATTTAAACTGTAAAAAGGTGGGAACAATAAACTGTTAAGAATATGTAAAGGTACACTGACCTCCATTGTTACCTGTAAAGCCTTTTTTCAAAGCAAAACTAAAGGCAATAAAATATCTCTTTTGCTAAAGCTTATTAACTTGCCAGTCCCCTGAGATTAACAACAAAGAAATTCCAGGGTCGACTTCACAGGAATGTGATTACTCAAATAAATTATCATTTTAAAGTTCATAAAACCAATCTTGAGAAAGGGCAGGGAGTGACCAACACACTGATCTGAGCATCCAAATGATTCCTGTAAGTAAAGAAAAATCCCGGCTTTATGCAGCTTCATGTTTGAAGAGAATTATGGGAGTAATTACTTTTCTAGGGAAAGGCATTGGTTTCTTCATTGTGAATAGCAGGTAACAGACCCAGTGACATTGGAGACACTTTTGGCATAAGAACTAGCACCCCATGCTATATTCCCCAAGAGTCCCTGCACCCCTCTATTCTGAGGTACTGGCAGAACATTCCAGCTAGATCAGTTTTATGTCAGATCAGGATTTCTATACCTTGTGGGAAAACTTAGTTGCCTTCTTGAGTTGGTGTTAAAGGCCCTCCATGCCACTTACTTAAGTGCTATTGACTTCAACTTTAAGCACACGATGTTAGGGATTGCTCCACATCTAGGATGACTCAGTCTTTGCCTTGAAGCGCTTGCAATCCAAGAAAACAAGTGCCAAAGGAAGTGCAGGGAGATAGATACAATCCACATGCATGGGTTTTATACACATTGAGTAAAATCCTGGCCCCAGTGAAATCAATGGGAGTTTTACCAGCTTTTCACTACTTATATACATTTAGTTCTTAAGTATGCATTAGCTGTGTTAGATTTTCTCCTCACCCGACCCATTCTAAACTGGCCTTTTTCTTGTATGCATTACAGAAAAAGCAACGACCTGTTTGATTATCAGGCCTAGCATCACCATGAATGATCTCATAGTATTTGTCGTTAATTCTTGGGTTTTTTTAAAATCAACAAATAAAACAAAATCCTTGTTTTAAGAACAGCCTCTGGTCATTATTTCTCTCTTACCCACTTTCAGTTCACCACCTGCAACCACTATACAGCTGGCACTAAGGACATTGCTGGAGCTGACTGGGAATTCCAGAGTCCCCAGAACATAGAGACCTCTCAGAGGAGGAAGAGTTGTATCCACCAGGATGGTCCTGTCTGAAAAAAGAGGAGAGAGAGAGAGCAACGTCAATATACCGACACTGTGATGTGAAGATGGAAAATGAGGGGAAAGCTCTAGAGATCATGGCCACTTAAGCATGTGCTTAACTTTAAATTTTGCTTGACAAATTCAGACTGGAAATAAAGTGTAAATTTTGAATATTGAGAGTCATTCATCATTGGAACAACTTCCACGGGTCATGACGTTCCGCACTAACTGGCCATTTTTTAAATAAGAGATTGGATATTTTTCTAAAAGATATAGGTCTGTAAAAGTCGTAATATTATAACAAAAACACTTCAAAAACAGACTCCAATGAGAGACAGCTGAATTGGAATTAATTTGCAAACTGCACACCATTAAATTAGGCTTGAATAAAGACTGGGAGTGGATGGGTCATTACACAAAGTAAAACTATTTCCCCATGTTTATTTCCCTCCCCCCTCCCCCACTGTTACTCTCACCTTCTTGTCAACTGTTGGAAATGGGCCACTCTGATTATCACTACAAAAGGTTTTTTTCTCCTGCTGATAATAGCTCACCTTAATTGATCGCTCTTGTTATAGTGTGTATGGCAACACCCATTTTTTCATGTTCTTGTACATATATATATATATATATATATCTTCCTACTGTATTTTCCACAGTATACATCCGATGAAGTGGCTTTTAGCCCACAAAAGCTTATGCTCAAATAAATGTATTAGTCTCTAAGGTGCCACAAGTGCTCCTCGTTCTTTTTGAAATAAAGAATTCAATCATGTGGACCCATATTGACCCCAACTTAGGTCATGAGCAGAGGTCAGACCTTGAGACCTACAACAAATTGTCTATAAATTGAGCCAATGGAGTAACTACTACCAGTAGTATGCTGTTATCCTGCATGTAAACCAGCCACTAGACGAGATGTGAGATACACACTTTGACAGTGTTTCACAGCAACTTGCTGACAACAGAGAATGGTGAGACTCGGGGTTCCTGGATCCAATTCCAGGTTCTGGAGGGGAGCGTTCTCTAATGGTTGCAATCTCATCTAACACTGGGCCCCAAAGCCGGACCCCATCTTCCTCTCCTCCTATGCACTCACCAGCTCCTGACTCCTCCCTGCTACTCCACAATGCCCATATCCACTGAATATTGACCCACACCCCTATCTTCCTATCTACCTCTCTAGTTACTGCCTCTATTTGCCCCCCATCCCATCTCCTGACCCCTCCCACTCTGCTTCCATACAACCTCCACCCCACCCCAGCTCCTGTCCCTTCCCCTCTGCTCCCATCCAACCTCCAACCATCCCAGCTTCTGACCCCTTCCTCTCTGCTTCCATACAACTTCCTCCCCATTCTAGCTCCTGACCTCTGTCCCTCTGCTCGCATCGAACCTCCATCGCACCGCAGATCCTGAACCCTGTCCCTCTGCTTCCTTCCATCCTCCACCCCACCTCAGCTCCTGCCCATCCTACTCTGCTCCCATCAAACTCCCATTCTGCCTCCTGACCTCTCCCCCTCTACTCCAATCTGACCTCCATCCCACCCCAGCTCATCTCCCTCCCCCCCCAGCTACCAGCCAATATCCACCCCACCCCAGCTCCTGAACCCTCTCCCTCTGCTGCTATATCCCCCCAACTTCTGCCTGCCTTCCCTCTCTTTTTTTTCCTCATTCCCACCCTCTATCCCCACCCTTCACTCCCCAACAGTCGCATCCAGTCGTCGCCTCCTTGCTGCCTGGGCATTAGCAGGAGGAGCCTTGAGAAGGCAGGGGAGGGGATCTCTCTGCTCTCAGTTCTTGAGCCTGCAACCACAGCAGCCCCTTGCTGCCCAGACAAGCAATTGCACTGAAAGTCATCTTCAGTCCCTGCAGCCCTGGGCTGGAGCATGCTCAGCACAGATGAAATCTCCAGTGAATTTAGCTGCCAAACTGGAACAAGTCTCTATTGAGCTTGTGAGCAGAGGCTCACAACTTGGGCAAATTTAGAAAAAATTTAACTGGGACGGCAAAACAACTGTGTTCAAGGCCCTTTCAATGAGGGACAGGGTCCTATTCCCTGAAGAGCTAACTGTCATAATCAGTCGGAAAAAACACAATACCGAGTGAAACAAAGCAGAGGGAAGAGGATAAGGGGGGAGATATTGTTAGAATGGAAATGGCTTATATGAGGAAATCACTGCTCAAGAATATGAGAAAATGCTGCAGTTGACAAAGGCCGTAAGTATAGTCATCAAGCATAGGGCAAAACATTTTTACAAGAAGAAGAAAGAGAGCTGTTAGGCATAACATTTATATGTCAAGTTTAAGCCTGGAACAGATTTTTTTTTTTTTTTTTGCTGAGTTGCACATCCTTAGAAATAAGGGCTTATAAATGAAACACTGATTGCTCTGTAAGTAGATTTCAGAGTAACAGCCATGTTAGTCTGTATTCGCAAAAAGAAAAGGAGTACTTGTGGCACCTTAGAGACTAACCAATTTATTTGAGCATAAGCTTTCGTGAGCTACAGCTCACTTTAATGCATCCGATGAAGTGAGCTGTAGCTCACGAAAGCTTATGCTCAAATAAATTGGTTAGTCTCTAAGGTGCCACAAGACTCCTTTTCTTTCTGTAAGTAGAGAGTTTCATGCATGTGACCCGAGAATAATAATGGGAGGGAGAAATTCTGACCTGCGCGGACCTGATGTGGTTTCATGGGTGCAACTGAGAGCATGTTCAGTGGATGCGTGAGGAAACAGACATATATTCTGCAGAAACAGCAGGGGGCTCCATTGTAGAGTTAATCTCCTTCCACACTTGAGGAGAAAAAGGAACTGATGGGTAGAAGACTGTTACCACATGTGATACATTCCTTGTGGCACATACCTAACTGCTTCATATGAGCAGCTCTGCAGATTACACAGTGAGGTGACTAGTCAGTGCCTAAAATCAGCGACTTTAGGTCAGATGGCTCAATGAAATTTATCTCCAGACAAAGGAGAAACTGTATTTGTTTTATCCCTTCCCTCAAGAAATTCACATCGCCACAAGCAACTGCATTAAGAAAATAATTCAAATCTAAGAGGGCTACCTTTCATTTTATGTGTACTTCCTGCAGACAAAAGCTCACAGCCTTAACGTTCGGGTGTACAACGCTGAGAATTCGCTAATGACTCCAGCAATGACATCAAATGCCTTTGATCAACCCCATTGCTATATAAAACACCATAGCATGTCATTGAATGGAAATCAGCCACAACAGACACGCTATTATATGAGAGACAGTACTCCAGCATTCATCTCTTCAAACAGAAAAAGTTCAAAGAAAATCAAAATCAGAACATGAATAAGAGAGTGGATTCCACCACTAAAAAAAAGAAAAAGAAAAAAAGGCCAGGGGCTACATGATATGATATCTAGACCTTTCAAACCATTGCCTAGAATTATAACACGTTCTCCTTCCACCCAATATGCAATGTGTCATACTGAAAACCCATCAACCAAAGTATGGGAAATCTCAGCATTTGAGGAGCTAATGCACTCCATGATCTGGCCTGGAACGAAGACGACTGCTGTTTGCTGATGGAATGGTATGAATCAACTCACTATTCATGCTTTCCAGTATTGTGCAATTGGTTTTTAAATGTGGGAGTCCCAATTTAGGCAATGAGCCTGATTTGCAAGCCTTATTCATGTGATTAGTCCTTATGTGATGGGCACTATCTTGGCTAAAACACCAGAGATTGAACCAGAGAATGCCAGAGGTAAAATAACAAGCTGATAAACTCAAGCTACTCTATCTACATAGCCTTGATCACCACAGCAACTCATAATCATTAATGGAATTAGTTTCACAACACTCCTGTGATGAAGAGAAGCGCTAATATCCACATTGGGAATAGAGGCACAGGGAGCCTAAGCAACTTGTCCTAAGTTACACAGAAAGTCAATGGTGGAACAAGCAATTGAACCCAGGTTTTCTAAGACCTAGGTTAGCATCCTAACCACTAGACCATCTTTCCTCTCATACCAAAGCACTCCCTCTGGGACTGTAACAGCTTCATGTCCTCTGCAGCTTGGGCATAGAAGGGGATCTCACCAGTGAGCTACCCTTGCATGAGCAGTCCCACTAAAGTTATCATTACAGGTGAAATCCACCCCATGCAGGAGTTTTGGATGATCAGTAAAGGTTGTCTCTCTTCTAGCCTGGAGCTCATTTATATCCTTTTGGACTAAAACCAAAGAATGCTTCTCATGGGAGACTTCAATCACCCTGACATCTGCTGGGAGAACAATACAGCAGAGCACAGACAATCCAGGAAGTTTTTGGAGAGTGTTGCGGACAACTTCCTGGTGCAAGTGCTGGAGGAACCAACTAGGGGCCATGCTCTTCTTGACCTTCTGTTCATAAACAGGGAAGAATTGGTAGGGGAAGTAGAATTGGGTGGCAACCTGGGCAGCAGTAACCATGAGATGGTCAAGTTCAGGATCCTGACAAAAGGAAGAAAGGAGAGCAGAAGAATATGGCCCCTGGACTTCAGAAAAGCAGACTTTGACTCCCTTAGGGCACTGATGGGCAGGATCCCCTGGGTGGCTAATATGTGGGGGAAGGAGTCCAGGAAAACTGGCTGTATTTTAAAGAAGTCTTATTGAGGGTGCAGGAACAAACCATCCCGGTGTGCAGAAAGAATAGCAAATATGGAAGGCGACCAGCTTGGCTTAACAGTGAAATCGTCAATGAACTTAAACACAAAAAAGGAAGCTTACAAGAAATGGAAACTTGAACAGATGACTAGGGAGGAGTATAAAAATATTGCTCTAGCATGCAGGGATGTAATCAGGAAGTCCAAAGCACAATTGGAGTTGCAGCTAGCAAGGGATGTGAAAGGTAACAAGAAGGGTTTCTACAGGTATGTTAGCAACAAGAAGAAGGTCGGGAAAAATGTGGAACCCTTACTGAATGGGGGCGGCAACCTAGTGACATATGATGTGGAAAAAGCTGAAGTACTCTTCAATCTTCACAGACAAGGTCAGCTCCAGACTGCTGCACTGCGCAGCACAGTATGGGGATGAGGTGAGCAGCCCTCAGTGGTGAAAGAACAAGTTAAGAACTATTTAGAAAAGCTGGACACACACAAGTCCATGGCGCCGGATGCAATGCATCCAAGGGTGCTGAGGGCGTTGGCTGATGTGATTGCAGAGCCATTGGCCATTATCTTTGAAAACTCGAAGCGGCCAGGGGAGGTCACGGACTATTGCAAAAAGGCAAATGTAATGCCCATCTTTAAAAAAGGGAAGAAGAAGAATCCAGGGAACTACAAACCGGTCAGCCCCACCTCAGTCCCTGGAAAAATCCTCAAGGAATCAATTCTGAAGCACTTGGAGGAGAGGAAGGTGATCAGGAACAGTCAACATGGATTCACCAAGGGCAAGGCATGCTTGACCAACCTGATTGCCTTCTATGATGAGATAACGGGCCCTGTAGATATGGGGAAAGTGGTGGATGTGATATACCTTGACTTTAGCAAAGCTTTTGATATGGTCTCCCACAGTATTCTTGCCAGCAAGTTAAAGAAGTATGGATTGGATGAATGGACTATAAGGATAGAAAGCTGGCTAGATCATCAGGCTCAATGGGTAGTGATCAATGACTCTATGTCTAGTTGGCAGCCAGTATCAAGCGGAGTGCCCCAGGGATCGGTCCTGGGGCTGGTTTTGTTCAACATCTTCATTAATGATCTGGATGATGGAATGGATTGCACTCTCAACAAGTTCGCGGATGACACTAAGCTGGGGGGAGAGGTAAATATGCTGGAGGATAGGGATAGGGTCCAGACTGACCTAGACAAATTGGAGGATTGGGCCAAAAGACATTTGATGAGGTTCAACAAGGAGAAGAGTCCTGCACTTGGGATGGAAGAATCCCATGCACTACTGCTGGCTGGGGACTGACTGGCTAAGCGGAAGTTCTGCAAAAAAGGACCTGGGGATTACAGTGGATGAGAAGCTGGATATGAGTTAACAGTGAGTGTGCCCTTGTTGCCAAGAAGGTTAACGGTATATTGAGCTGCATTAGTAGAAGCATTGCTAGCAGATCGAGAGAAGTGATTATTCCCCTCTATTCAGCACTGGTGAGGCCAGTTTTGGGCTCCCCACTACAGAAAGGACAAATTGGAGAGAGTCCAGCAGAGGGCAACAAAAACTATTAGGGGGCTGGGGCACATGATTTATGAGGAGAGGATGAGGGAGCTTGGCTTGGTTAGTCTGCAGAAGAGAAGAGTGAGGGGGCATTTGATAGCAGCCTTCAACTCGCTGAAGGGGGGTTCCAAAGAGGATGGAGCTAGGCTGTTCTCAGTGGTGGCAGATGACAGAACAAGGAGCAATGGTCTCAAGTTGCAGTGGGGGAGGTCTAGGTTGGATATTAGGAAACACTATTTCATTAGGAGGGTGGTGAAGCACTGGAATGGGTTACCTAGGGACATGGTGGAATCTCCATCCTTAGAGGTTTTTAAGACCTAGTTTGACAAAACCCTGGCTGGGATGATTTAATTGGTGTTGGTCCTGCTTTGAGCAGGGGGTTGGACTAGATGACCTCCTGAGGTCTCTTCCAACCCTCATCTTCTATGATTCTATGAATAACACCACGACTAATGGTACCTGTGACCGATTTTTAGGACCCTGTGTGAAGTTGCATGGTTAGTCACCCTGGCAGTTGCAACTAGTGGGTCTCAACACCCACTCAGGAGGAGTGAAGATGAAGTGTTTCTAAGGCAAGAGAGGGTAAAGGTGAGGCAGGTGATAGAACAGCCAGCTCGGGAGGAAGAGCAAGGTAGAGAGTTTATTCCTGTGGCTCTTAAATTAAAATAAAGGAAAAGCATGGGAAGCAGGGTGGAGTAGGTTTTGGACACTAACCAAGCATGTGTGTATGTGCACCAGGCTGAAACCCAAGAAGGGATTATATCTATTTACAGCAACATGGCAGTTATTTACGACGCGTGGAATGCAGGGAAACAGAAGGAACTGCTCTCTATAAACTAACACACTGCACTGAATTGTGCATGGCCTAACATGCAAATACTCCTCTTGTTTGTTTATTTTTGCTTATAAAATGTTTTGCTTTGGTTTCCCCATTCAATAAAGTTTTTAAAGGGTGGAGATGGCATGTTTTGCACCACTGTGAAGCAGCATGTTCTAAAGAGTTGAACAGTAGGACTCAGAACTAAGGATTCTTGAATTCTAATGCTGCTCTGGGGTCTTGGGTATGTCACTTATTTTTCTCTGCGCTTTACTTTCTCCATGTGAAGAATGGGTATAATACAGCTTTATATACCACACAACAGAAGTGTTGTGAAGATTAGTTAATATCTCTGTTCTTATCTTCAGGCCGCAAAAAAGCTTGGGACCAGCATACCTAAAAGAGCCTAATGCTGCAGGATGAAAATTGTGGTCAACAGCTCTGCCCTGAGACACAGTGGAACTTTTTTCCATAAGGCTTAAGATCATCTGTGCAGGAGACAGAGCTTTCTTGAGGGCCAGTTCATGACTTTGGAAGGAACTTCTCCAGGAACAAAGCATCATCATAAACGTCACTGTCTTCCGCTCCAACTGCAAGGTGCACTTCTTCAGCTTGCCTTATCTAACAAACACAGAGCAGTGGGGGGAAAAAGCCTACCAAAAGAAAACACTCCACTGCACATACAATGAACCACATGTGAAAAGAAGTTAATCATGCTGCTCAATGCATAACCAGAAGGCGCTCAGATACTACGGTGATGAGGGTCATACAAGAACCTAGGTAGCATAGAATAGAAAAGACAGCACTTTTTCTGTTTGTGAATTGTAACTGAATAGGGCATGATTTTTACAAATTTGGTCACTATTTATATTTTTTACAATTTTTGTGTCACTGCTAGAGGTTTATTTGAAAAATTACTGCGTCTTCATCAAAATTTGAAATATTTCAGCCAGCTCTACAGTTAGTTGAAAAACTGTGGGGGGAGGGGGGAGACATGGGAAAACTTTATCAATTTTTTATCTATATTTGAAATTTGAGTGGAATTCTTCAACCCGATCTCGTGAAAGAGGTAGATGAGTCAGCGTTTTGTGTACTAGCCTATCACTAGGCTACCTGGAGTCTCTCTTCTGCCCAGAATCCCTTGAGGAAGTCACTTAGCCTCCCTGTGCTTTTCTTCCACATCTGTAACATGGGGATAATAGTGCTTTTCTATTTCACTGGGATGTTGTGAGGACACAGACATTAAAGATTTGGAGGTAATGGAGACATATAAGTATTTTAGATAAACAGAATGTTTTCCAGTCCTGTTTGTGAACGTAGTGATCTGATCATTGTCTGACTCATTTGGGCTCTGACCTTGCAAACACCTAGGCATCTGTACACATTGTAGCCAATGGGGGTCCAGAGAGAAGCAAACTTATGTAGATGCTTATGTGTTAGCCAGAACAGAGCCCTAATTATCTGTGTCAGAAGTCTGGCCAGGGGGTTCTGGGAGCAGCTGTGTCTTTCCCCCATCTAATATACAACTCACACTACTAATTCTCTCTTCAACTAAAGCTGATTTTTACTACATCCATAATGTGTTATTTAATTATTTCTCATTTACATGTGGGGCCAGTGAAACACTTCCGGGATGCAATAAAATAAAATGCAAAAGTAATAATCTCAACTTGCCCTAGAGGTAAAAAATGACAACAGAAAGACCTTCCAGCCCCCACAAGAAAAACAGATGACAAAACCCAGGTCCTCAGAGTAGGTCTGAGACAGGCCTTCCAGAAGGATCAGCAAACTCAGGCTCTGTCAGACCAAGCTGGGGGGGAAATTCAGAGTTCAGGACACTTCATTGAGAGTGCCCTGCATCCACCACCCAGATATACAAGTCTAAGGACTGCCAGCGTTATAATTAGTACAATATATTATTTGTATTGCTTTAGTGCCTCGAAGCCCCAGCCGTGATCAGGGCCCTGTTGTCCCAGGCACTGGACATGCATGCATATAACACAGCGTCCCTGCCACAAAGGACTTACAATCTAAAAAGAGAAGACAGGCAAAGGCTGAGAGAAAAGAAGCTTAATTATTGCCAACATTTAGAAGTGGAGCTGGAGCACCCACACTTGCACAACCTTACATATGAAGTCTTAGCAGAAGCAGGATTTGTACCCAATTCTCCTGAGACACAGAATAAATGCCTTATCTAGATAACCATATGATATCAGCACTCCAGCTAATCTCCACTGTTGGGGTAAAGTCCAAAGACAAGGATGGACTTGGGGGTTGGACTAGATGACCTCCTGAGGTCCCTGATATTCTATGATTCTATGACTCAATGATACTTAGAAACCTAATCCATAAACAGATTTAGAGATCTAAATGAACAGTTGGACAGGCAACCAGAAAGCAAAATGGAAGCCAGTACAGTCTTGGGAGCTCGGCTGAAATATGCTCCCTGTGTGAAACACTGCTAGGTAAGAGGAAAGAGACATTCTGCATTAGCTATGATATGGTACACCTGAGTTTACTTAAGGAAAAAAAATCCACCACAGAACCGTGTGTATATTTGTGCAGTAGATAAGGGTGTGTGAGAGAGAAATATAGAGAAGTCTGCTTCTGGGGCAATGTTTGTTCTAACATGCACGCATTCATGCTGCAGTCTAAGGTCAAATGTTTGTGTCCTGTGTACACTGGAATTTACAGTTGTGTTAATTAGCACGTGGTAAAACTGGACTAACATTTCCAGTGTAGACATACCTTTGGTATTACTGGGAGAAACTCAGAACTGTACTTCCCTTACTTACTAGGCAAGATGACGACATCCTCACCAGAGGCTGGAATGCTGTGGTTGTATCCACCCCAGCCTTGTTTCACTCCACTCCATGATTCAGGGAATGACCATTTCAAAATTACGTCAGAAGGAGAGACTGGAGCTAGAACACAGGATGGACAAAGAAGATGTATTTGGAATTGTCATTTGCCCCACAAAACCAAAACTTGCCCAATGAGTAAAACCCTACCCTACCCTACCCACAAGTGTCTGCTCTCATGTTGTGCCTTCCTACCCAAAAGCCAGGAAGCTAAATGGATTTTGTAATATGTCCTAAAGTTCAAAGGATCTAGGCTATGTGAAAATCAACTAAGCTCTTTGGAAGCAAGGACTTTTTTACTGTATATCTGTGCAGCATGTAGCATAACGAAAGTCTGGGGTGAAATCCTTGCTCCAGGGAAATGGTAAAATCCCAGTTGACTTCACTGGGGGCCAAGATTTCACCCTTGATCCAGATTGAGGCTTCTAGGCATTTCTGCAATACAAATAAATAACAATTATAATAATCTTGTGAGGTAGGTAAGTTTTATGAACCCTGTTCCATAGTATAATAAAGGCCAATGAAGTTGAGCCCAACTTAGATTGTGAGCTCTCTGGGGCAGGCTCTGTCTTTCTGTTATTTGTATGTACAATGCCTAACACAATGGGGCTCTGATCCCTAGCTGAGGCCTCTAAGCTCTACTGCAACAGAAATAAATTTCTGTAACAATAGTGGACTACATAGCAAATCTGTGGCAAATCCCAGATTAGAACTCTGTAGGTCTTCCTTCTTTCCAGCCCTATCCTTTGGTCTATTATGCTGTCTGGCTCAATGTGTAACTGTATAATAATGTCATGCTATTATCCTAAGATCACTGTGTAGCACTAAAATATATTGTAGTCTTACATTCTCCATGACCTTTATGATCTGATATGGTATTTCTTAACAAAAGTTTATAGTCTTTTATAATGTGGAATCACACATTCATCACATGCAATGGTAGATGTGGCTCTTAAATGAATGCCAAGAGCCCCTTTTGGGCTGACAGATGTACAAAACATAGAGGTGATGTACAGCGACATTTTCCTGCACACCTAGTAAAAGGAATTGCTGTGGCTGTTAGACGAAACCAGTCAGCCTGAGACCACCACATACCTGGTGTAGGTAGAGTGACTTTTTCTTCCTCTTTGAATGTTACTTGGACTAGGTCTTCACTTGTAACTGAAAAGAGAGGGTGCATGGCTTGTAGACAAACCCCATCAGCAACTCAATGGAAACTAACAAAAGCAATTAGACAGTAATCTCTGATACAATGTTTTCTGATCATTCACATTTCTAACAACAAAAGGTTTCCCAAGTACCTAGCCTTGCTGATCCTTTTTCAACCATTTTTCTTACAGTGTTTTTATAAATAAATGAATACATTTTTGTTTGTAGGCACTGAAGGGCTCCTGGCACCTTACCAAAAAAAGCTAAGAGCAGATATACAATAAACAAAAGCTACAGTTGGCATGCCAACTTCATTTATCCCGTTGTAAAACTAGAGTAGCTCTATTGACTGCAATCACTTTACACTGGTGAGTTACTTTGGATTTACAATGGGGTAACTGAGATCAGAAAGGGAACTGTAGCTTTTGTTCATTGTGTGTATGTATGTTCTTGGAATCTAAGTCAAGACTGGATGCCTTTCTAAAAGAAATGCACTAGTTCAACCAAGATTTATGGTTAGAGCCAGGAATTCTATGGCCCGTGGTATGTAGGCGGTCAGACTAGATTATAATAATTGTAACCCCCTCTGCTAGGTTTTGCCAACAGTGACAAGGGCTCGGTTCATCTATTAAAATTAATACCCCACTAGCTTGAGCTCCTAGCCAGCATTTCTGGGATCACTAAATACCTTTATTGGGAGCCCTTAATAGGCAATACTTCCTACTCGCAAGCACTGAGTCTGTGTATGAGGAAAGGAACACTTTATTGGGGGAAAGGGAACACAGCATCATCTTGGGGAAAACAGCAACAATGTATCTAAATGAATGACAAGTAAAACACTCCCCCATGGTTGTTGTTGGCATCCTTTCGTCTGTGAGAGATGGTGGGAATAGAGCAGCCTATGATGTAGATGGTTTGCAATGTCTCATGTGACTGAATAGGCCAATCTGAGATTTGCATGATCTTTGGCAGTTATTGCAAATGTCTGTATCTTGCTTACTTCCTGTGGGCTCTTTTCTCCTCAAGCTGTAGGAGCCAGCTCCTGTCACTGACTTTGATACCCTCATGGAGACGATGTCACCACTTGTTACGGTCACTTGCCAAGATTTCCCATTGGTCAGGATCAATTGCAAATTCCTTCAGATCTCACCTTGCATGTGTCTTCATATTGAACCTGTTGTTCTTGTTCACTCTGATAGCTCTCTGTATAGCATGTCCTTGGGTATGTGTACATCTTCCAACCTACTCAGATGGCCCAGCCAGTGCAGTTGTCTTTGCTTGAGCAGGATTGTCACAGTTGGTAAATTTGCCCTTTGAAGAACCTCTGTGCTGGTGACTTTATCTTGCCATTTGGTGTTGAGTATGCAGTGTAAACAACATAGGTGGAAATTGTTCAACATTTTCTCCTGATGAGCATAAGTTGTCCATGTTTACCCACCATACATGAGAGTGATGAGGACATAAGCTTGGTACACTAGTATTTTGGTCTTGATAGTAAGCTTTGAGTTCTTCCATGCTCTTTTAGTTAGTCTGCTAAAGGTGGTGGCAGCCTTTCCAATGTGAACATTTAGTTCTTTATCCAGTGAGAGGTTGGTGGTCACTGTAGAACCTAAATTACTGAACTTTTGGACTACTTCTAGCTGGTTTGCATTTAAGGTAATTGAAGGATCTTGTAGAACCCCCTGTTCTAATACAACCATTTTCTTGATGCTGATGGTGAGAGCAAATGCCTGACAGGTACTTGAAAGCAGTCCATGAGTTCTTGTATTATATCTTCACTGTTGGCTATGACGGCAGCATCATCAGTGAATAGAAATTCCCTAATTATCAACTTTTTGACTTTGGTCTTTGACTTAAATCGGGACAGGTTGAAGAGTTTCCCATCTGATCTTGTGTGGAGATACACTCCATCTTTCATAAAAAGAAAAGGAGTACTTGTGGCACCTTAGAGACTAACCAATTTATTTGAGCATAAGCTTTCGTGAGCTACAGCTCACTTCGTCGGATGCGTACTGTGGAAAGTGTAGAAGATCTTTTTACATACACACAAAGCATGAAAAAATACCTCCTCCCACCCCACTCTCCTGCTGGTAATAGCTTATCTAAAGTGATCACTCTCCTTACAATGTGTATGATAAAACCTGGATTTGTGCTGGAAATGGCCCACCTTGATTATCATACACATTGTAAGGAGAGTGATCACTTTAGATAAGCTATTACCAGCAGGAGAGTGGGGTGGGAGGAGGTATTTTTTCATGCTTTGTGTGTATGTAAAAAGATCTTCTACACTTTCCACAGTACGCATCCGACGAAGTGAGCTGTAGCTCACGAAAGCTTATGCTCAAATAAATCGGTTAGTCTCTAAGGTGCCACAAGTACTCCTTTTCTTTTTGCGAATACAGACTAACATGGCTGTTACTCTGAAATCCATCTTTCATGTCCTTAGATGCACAGTTCAGTATTACTGAGAAGAAGATTCCAAAGAGTGTAGGGGCAAGAACACATCCTTGCTTCACTCTGCTTTTCATCTCAAAGCTGTACGAAGTGGACCCATCAAACTGGACAGTTGCTCTCATGTTGTTGTGGAATGAACGTATAAAACTTAACAGGGTTGGTGGACATCTTATCTTTTCTAACATTGCAAATAGATTTGCTCTGCTGACTGTGTTGAATGCTTTGGTTAGGTCCACAAAGGTGATGTACAATGGTCAGTTTTTCTCTCTGCAGTTTTCTTGGAGTTGATGCAGAGAAAATATCATGTCTATCGTTGATCTTCCAGCCCTGAATTCGCACTGTGATTTAGGGTAGACACGATTCACCAGCTGTTGTAGGCGCACTAAGATGACTTTTGCAAAAGCTTTTCCTGCTATGCTTAGTTGCAAGATACCCCTGTAGTTGTTGCAGTCACACTTTTTGCCTTTATTTTCTATACAAAGTGATGATGTTTGTGTCGCACATCTCTTGTGGTACCTCACCCTCTTTCCAGCATTTAAGCAGCAGCTGATGGAGATGTAGTAATAGGCTGTCTTTCCCGTACTTGAGGATTTCTACTGGGATGCCATCTTTTTCAGGAGCCTTGCCACTTGGCAGCTAATCAATGGTCTTGCTTAGCTCTTCTACAGTGGGCTCCAGATCTAGCTGTGGCATGACCTGTAGAGTTGATATTTGGTCCACTGATTCACTGGTGATGTTTCTTTCTTGTGCGTATAGCTCTGAATAGTGTTCAACCCAACAAGACAACTGCTTGATTTTATCTGTAATGATTTCACCGCTGTGCGATTTGAGAGGGGCAACCTTGTTGACAGTGGGACCTAGAGCTCTCTAAATGAATTACAAGTAAAACACTGCCCATGGTAACTTTGGCAATAGTCTTAACTTGGTTCGCTAGTAGCCGGTGTGAATGTCCAGTAGGCAAACAGCCCTTTTACCACATCACTTCTCTCTTCTCCCTCCGCTAAACACAACTCATGGTTAGGTGTCAATGGATAGCGTAGTCCCAGAATCCTGAGGTGTACTTGGGCAGACCTACCTCCAATCCCTTGCAAAATCCTACCAGGTCCTGTCCTGAGGCTCCACTACTTAACCCAGCTATAGTGATTTCAGCTTTATTTGGTGGCTGGGTAGAAAAAAAACATACCAGAATTTACTCACCTCTGCTGCTATCCTCAGTGGCTTCAACAAAGAGCCCTCTTTGCATTGCATCCCCTCAAGAAGCTACCTTGTGGGTTTCATCAAAGAACTGTCCCCACAGTATAGGCTCCTCAATGAAGGGGAATCAGTAGTAATGTAGGACCCTTGAGAAGACCCTTACTAAAGATGTGAGCCCTTTCCTCAGTTCCAATTCTGAACCAATTCTGAGTGTGTGTACAGTTATGGTGACTCCCAAGTGTCACTGGAGGAATTTTGGGTAATGAACTTATGCAGATGAAGCTCTCACTGTAGCCACAGTTCCCACAGTTCACCAACAGAGGGGGGGCAGAGAGCTTCTTCTCCTCTGGAACTTCTGTCCATCTTGAGTTCTGAATAAATAACATATGCAGATGAGGTAGCTCTGTGGCCGTTCTTCCCCCATTCACCAGATAGGAGCAGAGAGCTCCTTACCTTCTAGAGCTTCAGGCCACACGGCTGATCATAAACCTACCTCTTGACCTTAAAATTGGTGAATCTAGAACAGGGGAAAGTTCCAAGGCTACATGACTATGCTCATAGCTCTACAGAGGCAATGTTACAAAGGAGAAGTCTTACTAGCTAGCCATTCAAGAACACTCTTATCTTCTCCACAACATGCACCTTAACCTGCCCATGGGAGTGCATATCACCTTGTACTTTACTTACAGTATATTTAAACAAACCTTTGTCCTTTTAAATTGTGAAAGCCACTCCTCCTTACCTCCCTTCCCATCTCCCAGTGCAACCAAGCTAATTTAGAATGTCTGAGGTCCATTAATTTTAAGTGTCAATAAATTAGTGGGAATAATCAAAATACTTGATTCTTTCTGATAATTACTATCTGATGTCAGTTTAAAACACTAGACTGCGTTAGTAGCATATGCTCCTATGCCGAATGAGGCTTCCATAATTAAACAGAATGGGATTCCATGTGGGTTTTCCCATGCCTGATTAATTCGTAATCAGGTGCCACAACCCTGCTCTTCAGCGACACCTTGTTTCCCAATAGTTAATTACAGTCTGGTGCCATATTTACAAAAGCCACTCTGAAGTGCAAAGTCATCATAGGGGGACTCCACTTAATAGTGCCATGGAGTTGGGTCTGCCACACTGCTTCTGTCTCTTGTTGAGATGGGTGTAGTGGTTAGGGTGCTAGCCTGGAGCTCTGGAGCACTGAGTCTAATTTCTTGCCCCTGCTGCAAACTTTCTTGCCCTGCTGTGTGAACTTAGTGTCTGTATGCCTCAACTCCCCATCTGTGAAATGGGGACCAGGGCACTTCCCTAACTGCCAGGAATGTTGTGAGGATAAATGGATTAAAGACTGTGAGACATTATGGTGCAGG